TACAGGAGACGATTCCTTATGCGTGTGGTGGTATTGTGAGTCTTTACGCTGCCAGACACAGTCGCGAGCACAACACCAGAACGGTTTAGCTACACAGCGGTTACTGCGTCCCCAGGTGTAGGGAGCCCTTTAATCGCACCCAGAAGAATGCCTTTAGGATTTAGAGTTTAGGGGTTTTAAGAGGTAACACTTTAATCGTACCCAGAAGAACGCCTTGTCCCTGCGAACAAGTGCATCAGACGTGCATCTCGAGAAGGTTACCAACTACCCCGCACCCACTCAAACTGTATGCACAGGTGATTATAGGCGAAACACCACTGGCTGCATACAAACAAGCGCCCTCTGTGCGTGTGACTATACTCTGGGGCCCTACATCGCCATGGCCATCTACACCATACCACAGCATCCCGTCCGCGCAACCGTGGGGGTGTATCGCGAATAGGCTATGTATCGTACGATCTAACTATGCAGCACCAGTAGAAGACCTGCACACACCCGGTCCATACTATGCACGTGAGTATATGCCAACCATCAGTATCTGCGTACTACCAATCACCCACCGTCCGTACAATTAAAACAATACGGCCCGCGGCACTACAGTATCACATCTGGCCCTGCACGGACACCCAGGCTATCACAACTGTACAGTCGCCAGGCTATCACAACTGTACAGTCGCGACCGCTTGTCCCAAAGTAAAGGCCCAAGAGCCCGGTCTATTTCGCAGCACGCACGTGTGTATATCTCGAAATCCACTACTTGCGCACAAACAAGCCCTCCTCTGTCCTGGTGATGGTGTCATGGGGCCCTACCACACCCGACATGGCCACTTGCACCACCCCCGCAGGTCCCAATTGAACGGCTGCAATCGCTTGGCCCAAATTAAAGGCGGCATCGCCTTCTGAGAAGCGCTCGGGTTTGAAGGCACCCGTAACACACACCTGAGGTTGAAATACAGCAGACAGGCGAAGGATGAGCTGAGTTGGGATAAAGCACGTGTGTCTCAACAACAGAGCGACGGCGGCAGGCAGTGTATGTGCTGGTAACCATCAACCAGCACATCGGGCAGTTGACGGTTGGTTAACACGTGTGTACGACCAATCTCAATGGACTCTAAGGCCTATGATACACTACACACAATCGGATGGTGCTCTGAGCGAATGCAACTGAATACTCGTATGCATGATACTGCGCAGGCGCGTACAGGTTTCTTAGAGATAGGTATGTACACACCGCACTATATATAAAAAATATAATATGTAATATATATGAATACACACACACTCACACGCACACACACACACACACTCACACGCACACACACACACACACACACACACAC